GCGATGAACTTCCTCTCTTTCCGCAGTTCCTATATACTGTATTCATATATTCATCATTTGAAAACGGTATTTGTTGAAGAGGTGAATTTTACATGTTTACTTTTTCAACGTGACTGAGTCAGTTACGCCTGGTCACGCAACATCTACTTTCAGAGGTTTGTCGAACCAAACGCGAATTCAGAAGATATGCGATATGATTGAGCCATCGAGAGCTGGAGAATCCTGCCGGGAGAAATTGAAAAGTAATACAAATGATTCAAATTGGCATTTTAATAAACTCCTGCAAAATTCACATATCATTAATTTCTCGAAATTAAGAATATCACAAACCTATATTTACGAGTAAATGCTACTAACATCTCCCACGGTCAGGGTAGTATTTTTTCCTCTCTTTTTTCTCTTTTAATTCTTGCGAGTTAAGAACATCGCCACAAACTTAATAAAGACAAATTTTGAGAGATTTTCGCGAATTTTCTCAGAAGTGAGTACGTTAATTCGCTGAGTACTACTGTTTATTAGGTTACTTTTGAGGCTGTGCCCATTGTTCTAAAACAAACTCACTCCACAGGCACCATCATTTGTTTTCCTGGGCTATGCAGCTTCTGATATAGTTTAATTAAAGCATTGGCATTCCTGTATAAATGACATCAGTTGCTCAATAAGGTCTTTTTTCCTGTCTCTTGATTTAAATGGTACTTCAAAAAACGACTTCCCCAAACTCGATGTTGTGTAGCTTGCTAAATCCATCTATCTTGTTCACTTCTAAGGTTCTCTTAGACTCGTTAACTTCACATAAGCACGCGGATGTATCTTTCACTGGTCTCTCACAGAGCGCCTTTCTCGTGTCTCCCGCTGTTGGAATGTCGTGTCCTTCGTTGCATAAACGTCGGATGCATGTTTTCATTGGGCACAGGATACGATCACACACATCCGTGCCATACTGGGGCTCTGAAAAGTCATACCGAAAGACTTACAACGAGAGCGGTGTACCCTTGGTCACTTGAGACTAGCTGGTCGTAAGAAATCTTGCCACGCCCTATTCCGTACGTACGACCTCAAAGCACGTATAGTTTTTCCCCCAAACTGGAAGTTGTGTAGCTTGCTAAAACCATCTATCTTGTTCACTTCTAAGGTTCTCTTAGACTCGTAAACTTTACATACGCACGCGGATGTACCTTTCACTGGTCTCTCTGAGAGCGCCTTTCTCATGTCTCCCGCTGTTAGAATGTCGTGTCCTTCGTTGCAAAAACGTCGGATGCATGTTTTCATTGGGCACAGGATACGATCACACACATCCGTGCCATACTGGGGCTCTGAAAAGTCATACCGCAAGACTTCAATACCTGCCCGCTGACCGATGTCTCTTGCTGCGGCAATGAGAGAGAATTATTATGATAACAGCCAGCTTCATCGGACCTTATGTAAACTCGAGTGATGTGGGGCTTCTTGGTTTTAATTTCTTTCAGTATACTCTCTATGATGGAACACACGGCGAACCAATACTGCTGACATGTGCCAAACAGATGGGCATAGGAGTGCAGTTCTAGTTTTCCTTTGTCGTTTTGGATCACTTGTGAGCACTGTGGAGATGTGCAAACTCGTTCCTCTCTTGCCGAACCAATTGGACTGCTTCTCACGAAATCTAAGCTGGATAAATTTCATTGCCCACTCCATTATGACTAGTGCACAGTCTTGACTGGTGCTTATCATCTTCAGCTGATCTTGCTTTGCTACCTCCTGGTTTATGGAGCGAAAAATGAGAGCCTTCCACTGCAAAATGTCGGTTTTTGCCAGCTTGAAGTCATAGAGGAGATCATCTCGTTGCTCGCTGCTGTAAGGTCTCCAAGACGGTCCTCGAATTTTGTCTTCGACTTCATCAAGGACATTTCGCAGATTTTGACACTCCTTACAGTTTTCTGTGTGTTGGTGGCAACAATTTTCCTGAAAGTCGAGATCTTGTTCATCACCAAGAGCGAACTTTCAGCAATGATCCGGACATACAGCCTCCTCTGGATTACAATGAACGCGAAAATCAGTCTTCAAGTAGCGTTTTGCTTTCTTAGTCTTTCTTTGACTTCAGCGTTCCATTGCCTTTTCATTCCCCCTTTCTCTAAGTCGTCGACTATCATTTCAATTTTATGAAAGCCAGCTAAACCATCAGCAGCAGTATTGTCGAGGCCTTGCAATGACTTTCTCTGTGAGGCCTCTCTGACTTCAAGAGTCTTGAATAAAGTGGAATGACCTAGAGGTTCAAACGTCTCCTCCTGACAGAATTGTATGTACTGGCTAATCATTAGCGCGTCACTGCACGCACGACGTTCGGCATCTCAATGGTGTCACCACTGTCTAACTGCAGCGACCTAGTTCCGTAAGACACATCCTGGTAAAAAATATGGACGATTAACGAACTCGATAGAACGGTCCACTTTACTCATATCAATGCGCACACGATGGTGTTTTTTCTTCTCAGGCACTCTTCCAGGACCTATTCTTTTTTCATGACACTGCGCTCTTTGTATCTGACGAGTTGACAACTTATCGTATGGTGAGTGAAGTTTCTTTAACGTGCAAATCGAATACTTAAAGGCATGCTTCTTCCGGCAAGTGGTGCAGACAGCTATAGATTAGTGCAAACGATTAATAACTTGCGATCGTAATGTATAATATACAGGCCTGATCAGCTGACGTCCTTGTTTATGTGCTTAAAGGAAGAGTATTCTTGAGCGGCAAGGTGCGTCGACGAGAGGGGAATGGGAAGAAATTTACACACCCGATCCACCGCTCCAGAATATTGGCGCTCACTAAGTTGCCAGCTACGCTGGCCAGTTTAAAAAAAAAAAAAAACAAAAAACAAAACAAAAAACAAAGAACTAAAAGAAAACAAAAACAAAAAGAAAACAAAAAACAAAAAGAAAACAAAAAAAAAAAACAAAGAAAACCAGGTAACATAAGGGTATGTAAAAAACAAAAAACACGTTAACAAGTTTACGTGCTTTTGTAAGAGAGGTTTTGTTTATAGCATAAAGCAGAAAACTGTCAACTTAAAGTATTTAATCTGTCAAAGATTATCTTGCGCCAAGAATGTGGATGAAAGGACTTATCCCCCCTTTGCAGTTAACGGATAAAATAAATTTATAACTATAAATGATAACTTGGGTTTATGAAATATACGAAATGTAAACGTACTGGACTAAAAATGAAAGAACTTTGCCGAGGACTCATTTTCATTGTTTGTGGAAACATTTAGAAACAAGT